TCTTCTGGTGCCAGATGTTCATGAACTTGACCTCACCTTTCTGGTTTTGTCTTGTTTATTGCCCTCACTGCACTGCAAGGGCCTCCCCTCCCCCTACCATGCCCCTCTTTCTTGGTTTCCTCTTCCAGGAATAGTGGCCAGGGTAGTACCAAGACCCAGAGAGGAACTATGAATTCCAGCCTCTTACTTCCTTCCCCAGCTCTCTTTGCATCCGGAACACCTAAGCACTTTCTGCGACAAGCTCTCTAAATGATTGGAACTTTCTCCCAAATCAGCACTTTTTCATGCTACATTAGCATTTATTGGTTTGATATTTACATTTGGCAAAGGAGCACCCAGTTCCTGGGTCCCTAGGAGCACACACCATCTACTGAAACAAGCACTAATTGCCATTCATTCCCCTTCCTTCACCCCCTCAGCCCCGCCCCCCATCTGCCATCTGCTTTGTCCTCCCCCAACTCCCAGTCCAGTAAAAGCAAGTTCTGAAGGGTTATCTTTACAGACCAGAAGTTCTGCTGATAAACAGGGATCCTGCAGAGATGAGAGAGGTATTTCCTACACAAAAGTCCTGGCAGGACCGATCTGAATTTGCATTCCAATAATGCATATGCATGATAGCTCTCCTTTGGAGTATAATTTCCTTGAGGGCAGGAATCTATTTTGGTTCTTTGAATTTTTCCACATTCCCCTCAAAGACCAAGGATTGAGCTGTCAGAGGCGTTTGAACCAGAGCAACTGCATCTTGAATAGGGACTGGGTAAAATAAGGCTAAGACCTGCTGGGCTGCATTCCCAGATGGTTAAGGCATTCTAAGTCACAGGATGAGATAGGAGGTCAGCACAAGATACAGGTCATAAAGACTTGCTGATAAAACGGGTTGCAGCAAAGAAGCCGGCTAAAACCCACCAAAACCAAAATGGCGAAGATAATGACCTCTGGTCATCCTCACTGATACATTCCCACCAGCACCATGACAGTTTACAAATGCCATAGCAATCAGGAGCTACCCTTATATGGTCTAAAAAGGGGAATCATGAATAATCCACCCCTTGTTTAGCATATATCAAGAAATAACCATAAAAATGGGCACCTAGCAGCTCTGGGGCTGCTCTGCCTATGGGGTAGCCAGTATTATTCCTTTACTTTCTTAATAAACTTGCTTTCACTTTGCTCTATGGACTTTCCTCAAATTCTTTCTTGCGTGCGATCCAAGAACCCTCTCTTGGGTCTAGGTTGGGACCCCTTTCCCGTAACAAAGTTAGTCAAATAGTAGATTCTCTAAGAGCATTTTTCTACTCTGAAATTAGTAGAAAGTTTCTCCCTCCCTCCCTCTCTCTGGCAGCTACAGTGAAAGAGTCAAGGAATTATCCAGGGAATCACAAGGAGAATGGAGACCACATGGAAAGGAGATGAGTTCTCCCTTTTCACTTTCAAAATCCTCTACAGATTGACCCAGGAGACTAGCCCTGCAAGGTTGTGGTGGAGGGAGGAAGCTGTGTGGTAGTGTGATTAAAGCTCAGCTAGAACTGGCTCCAAAAGTCAGCGTTGCTATGTGACTAGTGCTGGGCTGTTTACACCACCTCTCTGGGCCTCAGTTTTCTTTGTGGTAAAATCATGCTTGAGATCAGGCATGCGGTGGGCTTAGGGCTTAGGAGCTGGTGGTTCCTGGTATTTCTTCAGACCTTTGGGCCCCATGCCGTGTGAGAGTGGAGTCCTAAGTGTAAATGATAATTCCCAAGGGTGTCTCAGCATATTTATGCTGTCCCCTGTGGTTTTTGAAGATCAGGCTCTTACATCAGCCTCAGAGCCTTGCTACTCAAAGTAGGGCCCACAGACTGGCAGCAGCAGCGTCACCATCACCCAGGAGACTGTTAGAAAGGCCCACTCTAGACCTGCTGAATCCAAATCTGCATTTTAAGAAGATCCCCCAGTGACTCATATGCACATTAAAGTTTGAAAAGCACTTTAGAAACCCCCCTGTGAGATATGCAATGTGGAAATGACTACTCCCAATTTGAGGATGCAAAAATTTCCTCAAAGAATTGATGACTTACTTTCCCCAATCCCATGAGCATGTAGAAGAAAGAAGATGGTTTGTGATTCCTGTGTGTCCTGGAAACTTCTCTCTACCCGTGGTTTTTCCTTGAAGGCTCAGCACGCTCCAGTGAAAGGCAGAGATGAGTGGGCAAAGAGACTAGGGTTTCATCTGCAGCCACATCTCCAGGATGGCGGCAGGGATGCTTGCCAGCTGTCTGTATCTGGAGTTCACTGGGAGGAGTGTGGGATATTGGCCTATGGCCTTGTGTTGGCATAACAAGAAGGCAGGAGAAAAATGTCATGTCAACAGACACAAACATTCTTTTGTTAAAATAGAATTTTCAAAAGGTTTAAAAAACTTGACTCTCATGCAAATACGCAATGACCACATGTCAAAGATTTGATTTAGTGCATTAATTAATGAAGAAACCTGTAAGATGTTAAAACTTATCCCCATGAGAACGGGAGAAACTAGTATTTATAGGCAATTTAACAGAAGAATGTTAGGATGAGATGGCCCGGTTGGAAATTATTTGCATTTCTATCAGACAAATATGTAAAAGTTAACCTCTGCCCCTACAGGTCAATCAAGAGTGCAAACCCAGTTTTGCACTGGAAGAACACCCAATAATCTCTTTTGTCTATTTCCAATTTGGGCTAATTTTTTTTGACTCTACCCTCTACTATTCCTTGAGAATCCGGAAATAGCTGTTGCTTGAGAATTACCCTTGGAATGGAACGTGGGCCTTGGAAGAAAGGGAGAAAGAAAAGATGAACAAACCCCTCTTCTACCAGATCTGGAGTGTGCTTCCCTGTATACCTTCCCTGTGTCCTTCGGAGCATGGTACAACTGCTCCCAGAGGGAATGAGTTGGCATCATACGGAGGGGAATGAAGGGTCACAGGAGGGAGACAAGGCAGCCTGCTCCTGGCTCCTAGTCTCTGTAACCTTGGCCATTGCGCAGAGGGAGATGATGTATCTGCAAACATATGCAGCCTTGTCCAAAATATTTTCCCCTCCTATGTAGTTCTTGCCAATATTGTTAATCTGTGGGTTGACTTCAGACCAAAATAAATCTCCGGGCCCTGGCCACCAGCTAGCTAATTTTACTTTGTAACCAGGGAATAGAAAGTGCGGGCCCTCGGCCGACCATTCTGTGTTTATTTTGTTTTTTCTCTGCTGCAGTTTAAAAATCACATTTGGAAAAGTAGACCCTTTATGCAAAAGAACAGACACTGAAAGAAACAGCAACAGAGATGGATGGATTAAAAATGGCAAGTTCTATCATCGCTACCCCTCCCCCTACATTTTTCTCTCTTTGCAGGATTCTGTTGGTGCCTGTTGGCTGCTTCCGTGATGTCTGGAGTTGCAAAATGTGCCAGAAAGCAGGAAGATACACCGCCATTCAGAGAGGATTTTCTTAGGGACTTGAAGAAATTGACCTCGAAATTTCAGTAGATGAGAGGGCTGTGGCTGGCCTACGTCTTTGGCACTGGGTACATTCTGTCATTCTTGTTGTACCTACATAAGAGAATTTAACTCTGGGTTCTCCCTGACTAATTCCAGAGGAGGTAAAGGGGTAGATCCTTAACATGTCTGTGCCAAAAGGGAACTTGGAGGGCATCTAGCCCAACCTTGCCAGGTGAGAAGCAGGATTACCTAGTGGTTGGGAGCATGCACTTGAAGCCACATAGGCCCAGTTTGAAACTGACTCCATTGCTTACCATCAGTATGACCTTGGACAAGTTACTAACCTCTGCCTCAGTTTCCTCATCTGTAAAGTACGGATAGCCATAATTGTCATCGCATCATAGGACTCTAGTCGGGGACTAAATGAGTTAACACATGTAAAGCACTAAGGACAGTGCAAAGCATACAATAAGCCCTTGATAAGATAAGGAAATGCGGCTCAGAGAGGAGGAGCAACCTCCCCAAGGTCACTCAGGGAATTGGCAAACTGAATTGGATTGGATGAAAAAATAAAAGAGGTTACTGCCTCTTGGAAATTTTGACTAATAACTGTTTTCTTTGCCTGTGTTACATCATCCTCGCTGAACACTTGGAGGGAACCCTAATGTAGAAGTCAGGGTGGTGCATTCTGGTGCGGGCACACCTCTCACTGATGGTGGCCCTCGTTTTGGGCTGGATGGTCTCTAACCATCCAGGGATTCCTGTCGGTACTAACATCTTGTAATTCAAAATCAGGGTTTGCACCCTCCATTCAAGCCAAGCCTGTGTTTTCCTACAACACTCTTTGCACTGTTTTTTTTTTCCCATTTCCCTCTGACATTTTGCCCAATTGTATCTCACCGGTATCAGCAACCAGTTTCCTCTTGGCTTTCTGACTCCGCTCCCCTCCTCATTATTCCCTCCCCTTCTCTCCGCTGCTAGGGCAATTATGGTTCTCAGCTGCCCCACACCTTAGCCCTGCGGTTGCCATATTTAAGTTGATTGTACATGATCAGTCTTGTAGGTTCTATGAAAGTTACCATGTTGGCCACTTGAAAGTAGGGACTTCATTTATTTCTTATCATGACCCACTTTGAGGGCCTGATAGAGTGTCCTTGGCAGGGTTATCATTTATCGTTTGTTGACTGACTCCAAACAATTTGAGATTTGGATGAAATCTTATATTGTCAAGTCTCTCTCTAGTATATTCAGTACAGCTGTCACTGGGATTCAGATGTCCTTTGTTTGCAAGGAAGCCAGTATTGTCAAACTCTAAAACCCAATAAAAAGGATATTTTAGAACAATTATAATTTAAAACTTGAAAATGTCCAGCTGGGACACAAGAGTATGTTAGATACTTCTGCCATCCTCGATTCTCAACCTCATGCCATTCTCCTCTCCCTAATATTCAGGCCCAGGTCAAATGTTACGTTACCACTTACTGGTGAAATGAGGCATTGCGACCCAGCTCTACAAGACATTGTAAATGCCTGAGTAGCAGTGAGTGGTGGAGGTGCTTTCATGGTTCTTAAGTATGTTGATTACGTTTTCATGCTATTATGTGAGATGTATCTCGCTCAAACCTTGTTACAATGTCAGCACATTATCCATCTGATGTGAAAAAAAAGGTGAGTGGACATTGAAATTCTGGGAGCTGAGAAGATAGAGTCAGGTGTGGCCCACAGAAATATCTTTTGGATTAGGCTGATCCCAAGGAAAGAGTGAGGGCTAATAGCGGAGGGAGTCCTAGAGTACAAAAGAAATGAGTAATCCACTTTAGGGGCTACAGAGAAAAAGTAAATAGTTGTTTGGGGACACCAACTTCTGCACTGCATACTACTACTGCTAGTGTAAATATAGCAAGGCCCAGTGTATATATAACAATGCAGATATAGCTGGCTGACCACCAGTGTAATCCTGCCTTTCCCAAATCTTTTTCCTTAAACTTGTTGGAGCTCAATTAAAAATTCTACATTGAAGACTAAGGGAAAAAGAGGTTTCATTATGAGCTGGAACTATTGCATTTTCAAAAGATGGCTGCAACAATATCCAACACACTTTTCTGCTGCGTAATCTGCCACTCCTCCATCAAGTAGAGGAGACAATTTCTCCACTCCCTTGAATCTGGGTGAGTTCTGTGACTGTTTTGACTGGTAGAATGAGGTGGAAGAGAGGCTGTGTGATTGGAAAGGTGAGGTCACAGAAAGCCTTGCAGCTTCCACCTGGCCTGTCAAGAATGCTTGCTCTTGGGATACTCCCTCTTGGAACCCAGCCACCATGCTGTAAGAAGCCCAATCTACATGCAGACACTACATATAAGGCATTGTCGTCAACAGCCACAGGTAAGTTCCCAGCCAGCGGCCAACATTAACTACCCGTCTTGTGAGTGAGCCATCTTGGATGTCCAGCTTGGTTAAGGCTTCAGATGACTCCAGCCCCAGCGGACACCTGACTGTAACCACATGAGAAACCAGGAGTGAAAACCCCCCAGCTGAGCCCAGTCAACTCACAGAACTGTGAGAGATAATAATAAGTTGTGCTACTAAGCCACTAAGGATTGCGGCACCATGCAATAATAGGTAACCAAGACAGTAGCAACTTTGGTTAGACACATGAGCCACGGGATGACACATAATTAGGTATGTTTTTAAAATCTTGGATTCAGTTTTAGGGCAATGCATCCCTAACATAGAGAGGCACTATTTCAGTTCACATCTGCTGCCTCTGATTAAAACACTATCTTGCACTTCCAGAGAGAGACAGCGCAAGTGTGTATATTGACTGACAGGTGTCCCCTTGTGTCCTCATCTGTGTGACTGTGGAGCTCAGTCTCTCTTACACATTCTATCATGATACTTGGTGCCATATTTGTAGGTCCTGAGGGAAGAACCCATGCTGTTGTCTTCAGAGAGTTTCATGGGTTGGACTGTGCCATATATGGCAAAAATCCACCCACACATTTACTTTCAATCACCTTTATGGATGTATGATTTACATATATATTTTTTTCTTTTTACTTTTTATTTATGTAATTTATTTATTTTTTGAGACAGGGTCTCACTCTGTTGCCTAGGCTGGAGTGCAATGGAGTGATCATGGCTCACTGCAGCCTTGACTTCCTGGTATTAAGCAATCCTCCCACCTCAGCCTCCCGAGTAGCTGGGACCACAGGCACATGCCACCACTCCTGACTAATTAAAAAAAATTTTTTTTTGTAGAGATTGAGTCTCACTATGTTGCCAAGGCTGATCTCAAACTCCTGGGCTCAAGAGATCCTCCTGCTTCAGCCTTCCAAAGTGCTAAATTACAAGCATGAGCCACCATGCCTGGCATCCTTTATGGATGTATAATTTACATATGTACAATAATACGTACCTATTTTAAGTATGCAGGTTGATTAGCTTTGACAAATGTAGCCCAGGTAACCACCATCATAATCAAAGTATAGAACTTTTTTTCTTTTGAGACAAAGTCTCACTCTTGTCACCCAGGCTGGAGTGCAATGGTGCCATCTCAGCTCACTGAAACCTCTGCCTCCTGGGTTAAAGTGATTCTCCTGCCTCAGCCTCCCAAGTAGCTGGGATTACATGTGCCTGTCACCACACCTGGCTAATTTTTGTATTTTTAGTAGAGACGGGATTTTACCATGTTGGCCAGGCTGGTCTCAAACTCCTGACTTCAGGCGATCCCCCCACCTCAGCCTCCCAAAGTGCTGGGATTACAGGTGTGAGCCACCGCACTGGGCCTATAGAACATTTTAGTCACCCCAGAGAAGTGCCCCCTGTGCCCTCAGTTCCCTCATCTCACCCCCAGCCCCTGGCAAGCACTGATTTGCTTTGCCACTATCGATCAATTTTTGTCTTTTCTGGTATTTCATATGAATGGAATCATATAGGATGCACTTTTATGTGACTACAATCTATTTTAGCATAATATTTTTAGGGTCTTCCATGTTGTTGTATATTTACAGTTAATTTCTTTTTCTTGCTGAGTCGTATACCACTGTATTGTATGTCACAATTTGTGTATTCATTCTCCTGTTGCTGGACATTTGGATTGTTTATTGTTAGGGGCTATCATGAATAAAACTGCTATGGATGTTTATGTACAAGATTTTATGGACATACGTTTTCATTTCTTTTGGGTAAATATCTAAGAGTGCTGTTACTCGGTGTGTTAGTACTCATACTGTTATACAGTATTAATTTTCTTTTTCTTTTTTTTTTTTTTTTGAGATGGAGTTTCGCTCCTGTTACCCAGGCTGGAGTGCAATGGCGCCATCTCGGCTCACCGCAACCTCCGCCTCCTGGGTTCAGGCAATTCTCCTGCCTCAGCCTCCCGAGTAGCTGGGATTACAGGCATGCGCCACCATGCCCAGCTAATTTTTTGTATTTTTAGTAGAGACGGGGTTTCACCATGTTGACCATGATGGTCTCGATCTCTTGCCCTCGTGATCCACCTGCCTCGGCCTCCCAAAGTGCTGGGATTACAGGCATGAGCCACCGTGCCCGGCTACAGTATTAATTTTCATACTGTTATAAAGAACTGCCTGAGATTGGGTAATTTATAAAGGAAAGAGGTTTAATTGACTCACAATTTAGCATGGCTGGGGAGGCCTCAGGAAACTTACAATCATGGCAGAAGGTGAAGGGGAAGCAAGGCACCTTCTTCACAAGGTGGCAGAAGGAGAACTGCCAAGTGAAGGGGAAGAGCCCCTTATAAAACCATCAGATCAGAGTTCTTCACCCAGAGTCGCCGCAGTATCGTGCCTCAACAGTGCTTGGACAGAACCTGGCGCTCGTCCCCCACCCCGGCCAGCCGCCCACAGCCAGCCCTCCGTCACCTCCACACCGCGTCCTAGGACCGCCCCAAGGCCCCTGCCGCCTCTCTAGCACCGCGCAGCCACCGCCGCCACCGCCTCTCCTTAGCAGCCGCCATGACGACCGCATCACCTTCGCAGGTGCGCCAGAACTACCACCAGGATTCAGAGGCCGCCATCAACCGCCAGATCAACCTGGAGCTCTACGCCTCCTGTGTTTACTTGTCCATGTCTTACTACTTTGACGGCGATGATGTGGCCTTGAAGAACTTTGCCAAGTACTTTCTTCACCAATCTCATGAGGAGAGGGAACATGCCAAGAAGCTGATGAAGTCGCAGAACCAATGAGGTGGCCGCATCTTCCTTCAGGATACCAAGAAACGAGACCATGATGACTGGGAGAGCGCGCTGAATGCGATGGAGTGTGCATTACATTTGGAAAAAAATGTGAATCAGTCACTACTGGAACTGCACGAACTGGCCACTGACAAAAATGACCCCCATTTGTGTGACTTCATTGAGACACATTACCTGAATGAGCAGGTGAAATCCATCGAAGAATTGGGTGACCACATGACCAACTTGTGCAAGACGGGAGCACCCCAATCTGGCTTGGCAGAATATCTCTTTGACAAGCACAGCCTGGGAGACAGTGATAATGAAAGCTAAGCCTTAGGCTAATTTCCCCATAGCCACGGGGTGACTTCCCTGGTCACCAAGGCAGTGCATGCATATTGGGGTTTCCTTTACCTTTTCTATAAGTTGTACCAAAACATCCACTTAAGTTCTATGTACCACTCCTTCAAATAAAGAAATTTGGTAACCCCCCAAAAAAAATAAATAAAATAAAATAAAATAAAACCAACAGATCTCTTGAGAACTCACTATCATGAGAACAGCATGGGGGAAATTGCCTCCATGCTTCAGTTACTCTGCCTGGTCTCTCCCTTGACATGTGGGGATTATGGGAAAAATGGGGATTACCATTCAAGATGATACAAAGCTTAACCATATCACTGGGTTATATGATAAGTGTATATTTAATGTCATAAGAAACTGACAAATTGTTTTACATGCCCACCAGCAAAGTATGAGAGTTCCAGTTACTCCATATTTTTATCAACACTTGACATCATCAGTCTTTTTACTTGTGGCATCCTTGGAGAGTGTAATAGCACCTCATTTGCCCATAGATTTTTAACTGCCTACCCAGCTAGGATGTCAGCAGGGATTTTTTTTTCACTGTTACATCTCCAGCCCCTGGAATAGCATGTAATAAATATTTTGGGAATAAAGGGGTTCATGTCTCTCTGAGCTTCTGTGTTTTTCTGAAATATTGATTTCTGTAGAGGGTATTGTGCGCAGAGGATTTATTTACTTATAACTGTGAGAGATATTGTCAAATTACTTGCTTTTTAAAAAATGCTGAACCAACTTATTCTCTCACCAACACTGGTTATTGTAAATTGTTTACATTCTTCTGCCAATCAAATAAGTTAAAAATAGTATTTCATTTTGGTTTTAATTTTGCATTCTCCCTGTCATTGGGCAAAATCAAGCATCTTTTTGTATGTTTATGGGTCTTTTATACTTCTTCATCTGTGATTTGTGTTTCTATATTTTGCTTATTTCTTATTAGACTATTTTTCTAATTAATTTGTAGAAACTCTATGCTTATTGGTGATATTCACATTTTGTTTGTGCTGTATGTTGCGAACATTTTGTACAGTGACAAGCAGAATGGTCCGGTGATGACTCCAGAACCCTTCTCATGTTGCCTGCTTGAGATGAGAGCTCC